AAGAGTGGAGCTAAACACCCTGCTTGGCAGGGCAGAAAGCAGAGGTTAAGCCCCAATGCTCTGAGGTCTAACCCCAGAGTCCCACTGCCCTAGTCCCCCATGGCACCACTACAGGAACAGAGACCAAAGCAGGCAGAGCACAGCTGGCTGGTAACACCAAGCAGGGCAGGGACAGGAGCTACAGGTTCTCCTGTACAAGTGCTCCAAACCAAGCACCTTAACCTGGAATTAGGACACTACTCTGTTTCAGCTTTCCCTTTGCATTTCCATGGTTTCAGGGACTTCATGCTTAGCAGGGGTGTTGGTCTCAGTATATTAAAGCATTCCAGTTTCAGACCAGTACAGGCATCCCTACGCCTCCAGCTGTCAGCAAGCACACCCTGGGACACCAGGCAGCTGGCTGCACCACCACCAGCATTTCCAGAGGCTCATACACAGAGTGACCCTCTTAGTCTGCATCCAGGGTGGCTAACAGCACTGTCCCATCAGAGTTCCATGCTGTGGCAAGGCTCTGATCACTCATCTCCTGCAGGACATCCTCCTCCAGCTTCAAAAGTATTTGAGTCGCTTGGCCCAAGGGGGTCCCAGCTGAGCCCCTCAGCTTCAGCACCAAGCTAAGACTGTTGCCTTCACTGTGACTTCAAGGAGGACATTTCATAGCTATTTTACTTGCTGGCAGGTAGTGTTTCCTCCCAGCAGCCCCACAACATGGTTCTCTGGCCACAAGGACCAGCAAACCCAGGCAGAAATTGAGTCCTGGCTTTCTCCAATCTCCCTGCCTCTCACAGGGAAGTGGGCTGGACCTGCAGGGTCAGAAATCATCATCCAGCTCTGACTGCTCTCGGCCACATAGACCTCTCCCCTGCAGTTTGCTTAGGCCTGAGAGGCCCCCCCCATGCACTTCAGCCAGGAGGAGGCTTTGCCCAGGAGCCAAGGTGCGGAGGCCAGGGTCGAACCAGCCAAGCAGAGACCCGCAGGAGCGAGCACCAGGGCAGGGGAGAGAGGAGAGCCCAGTTTCTGGCACGGGACATGGGGAGCAACTCACCTGAGCGTGAAGAGCAGCGGCCGCGGCAGCGGCTGCTGGGTACGTGAAGGCGGCATGGGGGATGGCAGGGGTTAGCTCCGTGGTGTACAGTGGGTAGGGAGCCCATGCCTCTGGGGATGCTGGAATAAGAGCCGCTCCAGTCAGGTCATCTAGAGAGGAGGAAACAAGGTGACAGCATCTCAGTAGCTGGCCTCAAAGCCTGCTTCAGGGACAGGCTCTGGATTTCCAAACCCAGACTAAAGCTTTGCACTGCCATCTCAGTGAGGTATAAAATATAGCATTTCTGCAGCATCTCTGTGACCAGCTGCTCCTCTGGCCTCCCAGCCTTGCCAAGAGAGGCCAGGAACATGCTCCATCACTGCTCAGCACCCCACATGGGCTTTGGGCAGGCTGGTTCACACACACACAGCACAGGGCTGGTGCCACAGCATGGCAGGACAGAAGACAGGGCTCTCAGCACCACGTTACAGGCTGCCCAGCAAGCCTCAGCAGGGCTGCTCACCCCACCAGGCTATGCTGAGGGTGCATGGCACAGGACTCATCCTTTCTGCTTCATACCTAGGGATGGTTTAAAGGACTTATGGTACCACTTGAACTACCAAAACCAACTCTGCTCTTCCAACACCTCTGGTGTTGGCCAGAAGCCTTACCATATGCCTGTTATTCTCCTGCAACCCTAACATGCTGGCCTTCCTGCACCAGGCAGATTTCAGCCAAAGCATACATAGGTATGGTTTCCTTTCCACCCTGGCAGCATTCCCAGGGTTGAGCATCTCCCAGGTTGGACCAGCCACAACCTCAAAAGTCCCTCCCAGCATACTCACAGGGGTCCCGTGCAATGAAGTGTGCACCCAAGGCAGGGTGGATATTGGTGGGGTTTGGCGTGGCCATCAGCTTGCTCTTGGCCATCTTTGTGTTGGCTTTGGCAAACTCTAACCGCAAGGTTTGGGGGTTCTCTGGGTCAAAGCGGATGCCCTGTCACAGAAGGAAGCACAGGAATCTCTGAGAAGCGAGGTTTCCAGTCCAAGCACAGGCTATGTCTATTCATGGAGCAAAGCCCAACCGGGGAACCAAGGCCATCGCGCTGCATTCAAATGCCCAGATTTCTGTCACCTCACTGCAACACTCAAGCTCCCACATGCTTGTATTTCTATGTTTAGCTGGCCTAGGACCACTGCCTCCAACCTGAGGGACACAGTTTTGCTCCTTATGTGCAGTTCACCAGCCAGCATAGCAGTGATGGCTACCAACACTGGTCAGAAGAGATCCGTCTGCTGGAGCTGGGATAACCCCATCTATACTGGAGCTCTTGTCTGTGGTGCTGCTACATGTACTGCCAGCCTGGGCACAGATGCTAGCACATGCCCCAATGCCCAAGGCAAGGTCTACAGCAGAGCAGCACCAGATCAGCATGCCTTGCTGCCTAGATCCCACTAACTTCTGCAGGCCCACATGGGATGGAGATTGTTTTGTGCGTGCCTGCCATGTTGACCATCCTCAAGTCTTTTTCTTGAGCTGCAGCAGTTTGGAAATGCTGTGAATGTGCTAAAAACCCTGTACCAGACAGCTTTGGCCCTGTCTCATGCCCTGCCATGGAAACAGCAGCATGGGAAGGCTGGTTTCCCTCCTTTCTGAAGCAAGTACCTTCTGGCTGCAGAGGCCCTGGCAGGCCAGAGTCCAGGACAAGGACCTGCTCTGCTGAACTGCCACACACTTTTCATCAGGGCATTTGGTAAGTGAGGCTTTAACAAGGCCACTAGCACCAAGCAAGTCCTACAGCCACATGGCAGACCAGCTTTGCAATGAGCCTGCTTCACTACCGACATACCCTGGTGAGCTTGACCTAGAGTCTCAAAAAGCTGATGCTAAACACAAGTTGAGCTCCACATGCCTCATGAAAGCATTACAGGGTGTCAATTGGGTATCATCCATGCCTGTATATGCCTGAGAACCACCTACACCCCCAACATCACTCTTCTCATCTGTTTCCTAAGGGTTGGTTCTCCAGAGAAGACCTGCCTGGTCAGGTACTCCAAGCCAAGCTCAAGTCAAGCAGTCGAGCTAGGATGAGCCCCCACCTCAGTGGGGACAGCAGGAGGAAAAACTCCTTGAAGAGCAGTTCTGGCTGCACATCAACACACATAGGTAATCCATGCTCATTTGAACAAGGGGCGGGGGGGAAGTGTCTCTCAGTCCACAACTCTTCCCCATACAGAGGGGAGCACTTAATGGATAAGGAACAGGATTCACAGCCTGGATCCTGCTATCAGAGGCCAACTGTTCAGTAAGAAGGTACATGCCAACTCAAGAAAAGTAGCTGTTCTTTCCCCACACCCTCAGAGACCCTGCAACAGTCTTCCAGTGGTCAAAAACTACACCTACCACTAAGCGTGGGACAGTTTGCATCCATTTGCTGAGGCTGATGTCAGCCTTAAACAACTCTCCTGCTTCCCTGGTGGGATGCTGCATTTAGCTTCCATACTCAAGGGCACAGCTGAGACACCCTGACCCTTCCTATGCTATGGACAAGTCAAGCATCTCTCTAACCCACAGCTCCAGGTCTAGCTACAGCAGGGCGTATGGCTCCCAGCCCTCCCTGCACATCGGGTACTCACATTCAAGGCGTTCTTTGCTGCTTCAGCACCAGCCCGGCTGTCAAAGGTCACAAAACCAACTGGCTAAAAGAAATAATGCCGATTTCAGTTTAGAAGCCTTTTCCAACTCCTCAGACTACCCTGCCACCCCCTCTGCCTCAGACAGCTTACAGCAGGCAGAAGAGAGCATCTAAAGCTGCAGAGGGCCTTCAAGCAGAGCTTGAAGGGTCTTGGGTCATCATCCAAAGATTCCTGCTCTGTGTCTGCTCCCACCACACCAAAATGCTTTGGCATTCCTACATGTGGGGGTGCTGCTCACCCTGGTAGCCCCCAGCAAGGGCACCCCTTGCCCACAAGGGGAACAACTGCCTTGATTAGGATGGGACTGGGGAAGGTTTCTGGCAGCACAGGGGTTGAGGCTGAAGCATCAGGTCTCACCCAGCCCATATAGCCCTGGGCAGCAATAGAAGATATGGAGCCATTCAGCACATGCTGAGAGCTTGGGGCCACCAGGACAGTGGGTGTGAGAACCACCCAGCTGTACACATGGTGCTGAACACAGACAATGCTTTACACAGTGAAATGGTATATATGTCCCCCCTCCCCTCCCAGCATGTCTGGTTTTCTAGCAAAAGCCAAAAATACCCAAGCTGGAAGAAGGAGGTACCTGCTTTGAAGTTAGCTTGATCAGTGACCCTTCATAACCCTGCAGAAGGGAAGAAAGCAAATCAGTGTCAGGCTCCTGAAGGAGCGAAGCTACAATCAAGACATGACAGCTCCAGGAGTTCCTGTAGCACCAAACTTTTCATAAGGCAGGGTTTGCAGCAGGAGTAGGTACATTAACACTTCTCTTCTTTCCCACCAAAAGAGAAGACTGAGATTAGACTAAGGGCAGAGGAGGTATCTTAGCTAGTCCATTCTGGCCTTTTGGGAAGAAATCCCATTTTCTAGCTCTTCATCAAGCTACTAAGATGAGCACCCTGCCTGTCTAATGCCTAGAGAGCACAGAGCACCCTGTGCTAGAAGAGTGCAAACAAGGGAACGCCACTTCCCCCAAGGACAGCCTATGTGGTGATCTAGTGAAGGATGGACAGTGAGGGGATCAGGACACATCCTCAAGGAAGGGCTGGTCCAGTTGGGCAGTAGGGCTGACCAAGCAGCCTTCACTGAGCTTGAAGACAGCATGATTTCAACAACAGGCTCCAGGAAAGTTACCCAGCTGAGCGCAAGCCATGGGATACCATGCTGGTTTCATATGAGGTTCCCCAAGCTTTCACAGAAAGCCTGCCTTCCCACTTCATCCTTGCTTCCCCTCCGACAGAGATCGTTGCTGCAAGGTTCGCCACAAGACAGCATCTTTCCTACCAAAGACCAAATTTGAAGACCACCTTACCTTGAATGGTCGGAATAGTAGGTAGAGCTCTCTGGGCTTGATATCCACAGGAAGGCCACTGACAAACAGCGTCCGTACCTAGGAGAGAGGTCAATGAGTTCTACTGAAAGGAGATGCTTAGTACCAAAAGCAGGAGTACAGAGCACAGTTCAGAAGCTAGGTGCAATAAGAGTATAACACCTTGCACCAAAGGTGGCCTTGAAGGCACTAACCCTTCCCTACATTAGCGGAGCATTGTCCAGGATAAAATACACCCAGTTCTTTCCTCCCTGCAACAAAGGATTTAGACCTTTACAAAAATTCAGTCTCTAGCAGAATAGTCTGATTGAGTTGTTTAGGGCATGGACACCAGTCCCACAGTCTGACTGGACTTTGATGACTAAAACTTGAAAAGACTAGAAGACCATACACTGCCAAAAGCACTAACACAGAGTTTGACACATATCAAAGGTCCAGAAGAAACCAGTACAAACCACAGTTGTCTCTCTAGCTCTTTTTACAGATCATACACTAGGTCTCCTTTCCTTAGCCTATCCTGGCACTTTACTTCAGCCACTTATTCAAAGACAGCCCTCAATTTTGAAAAATACCTCACTGCTATACTTGCATCTTTTGACTTCCGCAAAAGCCCCAGAACATCATTGGGAGGATGATTTTTGGGTCCATCCCATCTTCTTCAACACACATCAGACCCTTCAGAAGTTGCTCCCAAACCAGCTCTTACAGTGTTTGTTCTATTGTGCCCAGCCAAAAGCCAGCTGTGCTGCACCAGGTCTATGTAGGCTGTTGCTCTTTCCAAGCTGTAGAAGTCATATACTAAGTCCAAACGCACTCAGCATGTATAAGCAAAAATACAGTACTAGAGGAATATTTCAATAGATAGTCGTTGAATTTATCTATAATAGTTCACATGAATAGCCAGGAAGAAGAAACAGTGGTGAAGGCTCATGGCCTGGAAGAACTCTGCTCAACAGTCAGACCATCATGGCCACCTTCTCCCTGCACTGGGAGATGTCAGCTAGCAGTCTATCTCCATAGGAAGCAGCATAATGGAGCTGCCAAGGCTTCTTGTAAATCAGCACAGAGCTGCAAAGGGAAGTTATGCGCAACAGAGGTCACCAAGACACTAGTCATCATTAACAAGGACCAGGAGACCAGAAGCACAGCTCAGCCAGCACTGACACAGATAGGCAAGGGAAGACAGAAGACTACAGGAATGAGATGGAGCTCTGTGTTCCTTTCTTTTCATTGTGTGGGGATGCCACTCACCGAGCCAGTCCCAAACAAGCCACAAGAAGGTCATGGGACAGCACTGATGCCCAAATGCTCAGAATGGCACCAAACTGTGCCAGATGCTTTTGAGCTGCAAAACATGCAGCAGGACCAGGAGGCCTAAGCCAGAGGCCATCTCCTGGCCTGTTTCTAGTCTGGAGTGACTCCACTACATTTGCAGGGCAGAAGCACTTTGCTCCCACATTTTAGTTTTTGCTCAGCCATTTACCCTTTCCCAGACAAAGTAGGTTGTATTGACACCTCGTTAAACCTCTTTTGCCACCAAAGCAAGCAGCACACACTTGCCCTGCTCCCAGGCTGGAGACAGCAGCCACCTGAAAATGCAGGAGCATGCAGGAGAGCCTCTGCACCCTGTAACTCTTCAGCAGCAGCCAGATTCAGACTCCTCCAAGCAAGAAAGTTTCTCCTATTTACAGGAGAACACGCACACCTCCTTGAGCTCCTGTGCTCAAGAAAGTCCTGCCAGGGCAGAGAGATACCCTTCACATCAACTCAGGGGGCAGCTTAAGCCCTCCAGGATGGACAGTGATCATGAAAGCTTTGGGGTCCTCTGCCCTACTTGCTCTCCATGCACACTGAGACTAAGGACTGCCACCACCTGGTGAACGCCCCAGTAGGCTGCTACCACCCCCCATTAACATGCAGACCCCTTCTCCAGCCTGACACATCTCAAGACTGCTGCAGAATGCAACCAGTGAGCATCCTCCCCTCCAACGCTGGCACCCTTCCTATCCCTTCCCCTGATCCCTTAGTATGGATGGCCCTACCACACACCCCAGCTTTTGTTCTGCCCTGTCTGAGGAAGCAGGATGCTATCTGGAGCACTCCAGAAATACTTTCCATGCCCAGGCTCAATCCTACATTCTCCCTACCCAGCCCAGCCCCTCATTTGATGCTTTGATGCATCATGCCAGGGCCACCTCATGCCCAGGCAGAGCAGGCAATGGCACTCTCTCTCAGCTTGCTGGCTGCCTTGAAGACTTTGGTGCTTGCACTTCAGCATGAACTACATGGAGTGCCTGCAGTGCATTCCCAGAAGACGCACAGCCATCTCTTGCAGGGGAGGACTGTGCAGAGTGTGGTGGCGCACATGTGCCTCAGCCATGTGAAAGCACCATCCCTTTTCAATATTTCAGGATCTGAGTGTGCTCAGACCCCAGAATGGATGTTGCTTCCAAGCAGATAGAAATCTGCATCCCTGTTGGGTCTCTAAATGGTCCCATGATGCGTCGCTTGGTAAGTCCTTGCGACAGGCGTGACAGAATGGAAGATGAGCAGTTGCCCAGGGAAGGGGAAGTCAGCTACTCGGAGCCCTTACAACAGCCTGAACAGAGCAACACAGGTGCCTAGGAAAGCTCTTTGTAAGAGGTAACAAGTTCCTAATGCCATCCCCATAAGTTGCTGCCAAGGACAGGAGCAAGAGACTTCTCTTGCAAGCCAAAAGCTTCCCTTGGCTTCCAGGTCCAGTCTGTCACCCTACACAGCATTGGAAAGGGGACCTCAGCCAACCCACAGTACCCATCAAGGGCTGGCATCACCCCAGAGAAAGCCTGGGCAATCCCAAATGCCACCAGCTAACATCTTCAAACAAGGTTTTCCCAAGGGTCTCAAGACAGACTAAGGAAGGTCTCAGAGCTTGTTAGAAGCAATGAGACCAAGTGGTTGGTTTTCCAAGATCTCTGCAATTCAACACATCCATAAGGAATCTAGAAAAGAATAAAGGGAAAGTGAACCCAACTTATTCAGGGCAGGGAGGGTGAGGCTGGTGAGAGACCCAAGCGATACATTCGAGGGACAGAGTGAGATAAGCCAGAAGGAGATTGCTTCTGAGACCAGGTGTAAACATGGGATCAGCAGCAATCAGAAAGCCAAGGAGATCTGGGTTATCCCACAGGAGAAAAGTAACTTGCCAGTCTGAGCATCTTGTGCACTGTGGGCAGCCCTGGTCCAGCCTCCTCCCCCTGCTCCCAAAAAGAGGAAACTATAGATGAGGGCAACAGGGTCTGGAAAAGCATCTACCAGTGGATTAACTGAACTGGGACTCTCCAGTCACCCCTTTGCAGCCCAAGTCCTGCAGGCTTTGAGAGGCCATTAGGACCACCCAGGGCTGATGAATCCAGGCTTCCAGCCTTGCACTCAACATGCCAAGAAAGGGTAGGCTTCTGCTTAAATATATTTGCCCTGCTTCAACTCCCTGCCACCAAACACCAGATGTAGATATTCATCCTCCCCACAGAGCAGCTGGAAAAGCTACAGGACAAAAAAAAAAATAACCATCCAGGGCTAGATCAGGAACTGCCTGGGCCAAACTGCATGTTCACCAGGAGCTTGGAGAAGATACAGCAGAAGCAGATCTCCAGGAATACCTTGTTCTTATGCTCACTCTTAGACTCTGCTACCAGCCACTCGAGATGAGATACCAGGTGAGAGCAATTCTATCTCACCCAGGACAACTGATCTTCACTGGACACACACTCACAGAGAAGCAGGGCAGGGAGCAGCTCTCACCTAGAACAGCCCAGTGGGGTCACACTGCTGGAGGCCCTGCAGAAAACACCTTCCCTTCCCCATCCCTGCCCCGTCTGGGGATGTCCCCAGTCCAAACACCCAGCAGAGATGGAGGAGAGCCATGGAAAACAGGATTTGGGCCAGGAGGGACAAGACCATCTAGGCCATCTCTTAGAGTGGAAGGATCCCAGCATAGCTTCCCACATAGGAGGAGGGAGGGACAAGGACAAACCCATTTAGTGTTCAAGTCCTTGGTGGCTCTAAAGCAGTCCTTACACAGCTGTGTCTTCCAGAAGAGACACACACCTAGTGCGAGCACAGCCAGGTACTTAGCACCAAGACTTTAAAGAAGCCAAACAGCAACACTTGCCTCTTCCTACCACAGCTCCAGCACTGCCAGGAGGCCAGCATGGGTCTTACATCCACATCTCCTGGCCATGTCTGCTTTTAAAGAAGAGCTCTTGGAAAGGGAGTCCCAAGCAGAACTAGACACTGCCCTGCAGCCCAGCAAGGGTCAAGTTACATCAGAAATGTTAGATGCAAAGACATGAGTAGCCACCTCCAGCAAGGCTGCTCTGGTAGGTCTCCAGTGCTGGACCTTTGCTAAGAGACTGCTCCAAATCCTCCCAGAAGCCAGCAAGGCTGACCCTCTCCTTCTGCAAGATCAGCCCTTTAGCTGCATTACCCACAGCCCTGCTTTTGCACAGCTATGGCCACTCCACCTCCCCAAAACTGGCTGGGTGCTGGGGCCATGATCCCAGCACCTGGAGCACACAAGCCTTTACCACCAGTGGTTAGGAGACATCTGAGGACAGCTACAGCAGGAACATGCTCTAGTGCCTCATCTACACCGTGCCACTGGTTATCCCCCCTCTTCAGGAAGCCACCCCCAGCTACATGCCATTTTTTCCTGGAGACAAGCCATGTCCCACTCATTCACACCAATATGGCCACCAAGCCTTCTTCCTATGCCACCAGCAGAAGGGAGCCCCGCACCATCCTGCTGCAGACAGAGACAAGCTCTGCCACAGCATCCCAAAGGCAGTCCCCCTGCTGAAGACAGGGACAAGCTCTGCCACAGCATCCCAAAGGCAGTCCCCACTCCAGGCAGCCACCCTGAGATCCCAGCAGCTCAGGCACACAGACTACAGCTCTTCCTGCAAGAGAGCATCCCAGTGGGGTGCCTCTCAGGCACCCAGGGCCACCAGCAAAGCCGCAGGGGGTACACAGAGCCCCAGCCCTGGCCACCATGATGCAGCTAGGGCCACTTGACGCAA